ATCCACAGGAGGTTCTGTGATAAGGCTGTAGTAGGAGTTACACCTACACTCCACTAAGTCTGATCTTTAGGTACAAAGAGCTGTGCTGATCTAGAACGATCTGATTATACCAAATCTGGCCCTAAAATGTAATATTAAGGAAGAGCGCTTGCTTCTTACTGCTGCCTGCATGAAAAATAACTTCATGCTAAACCCGAGTGAAAGATGAAAAGGTGATAATCTATTTGAAATATCAGACTTATCTGGCAGGTGATAATCAGTGCATTCCAAAAATATTAATGTGCTGAATCAGATTGACAAGAAAATTAATCCTCATTAGATGAAATTAATCTTAAGAGAACGGAAAGTACATTACAGCAAATACTAACTCTTCTTCCATGTCACCAGGAACATATTCCACTGTATTAGTGATGGAGGTTAAAAAACAGAACACAGCTCTTGATTTATATACTTGTTGAAGCAGTTTCTATATATGCATATGTATGCACATTCATTAGCAGTGACATCTCAACCCTTAAAGACTCCTGGAGAACTGTTGCTTGTCAAAAAGCACTCAGGTTAGGCTAACATCTGCAGCTTTTGCTCTAGCATACATTTACGTTAGGTGTAAAGACAAGGAATGTATGAAAGAGGGTAAATGCATTCCTATCTACAATGTTATGTATATTTTGTTCCTGTTATATTGGCTTTACTTCCAAAGTTGTAGTTTGCAGTATTAGTTTCTTTTTATTGGTATCCTTGCATATATATATATTCAATAAATGAGTTATGAATTTCATATTTGCATATCTGTCCTTTTTCTGAAAGTGTAACTTTTGAAACTGTCATTTTAATGCGTAAATGACGTATTTCCTATTGAGGTTACAGGCCCATGAAAATTTTACCAGGAGAGAAGTGTGAACTTAGAGTATGCCACTTACTCAGTGGTAACTCTGCATATTTGTGTATTTTTCTTAACTTTGTGCAATGTGTAAGCTGCTTTGCACTTACCACTAGTTAATAATGTGAAGTGACTGACTCAGTGAAGGTTCCTGTCTCACCTTTCAAGAACTTTTTGGTTTTCCATTTTCAAGAGCAAATCAATTTAGACAAAGATAACAAGGGAATGCAGAGTGTAATATAGTTATACTGCAGAAGAGCAGCTACACCCAGGGTGCACTTCAGAACCGTATAGTGTAAGAGATGAACAGAACAAAAGATCACTTGGAGAATGCTGGATTTGTCCAAATACGTAACTGCCTAGAGTGAGACAGCAATACCTGTCTGTGTTTTTAAAGTATCAAGAAATGTGATGGGAAAACTCTGTAGGAGAAGGCTACCATTGGCCTATTGATGAAGATTTTATTTTCTAAAAACAACTACATGTTCTTATGTCATGACCTTAAACAGGGAGTCGATTTAATGAGCATAGTTGGTACTTAGCATGACCTGAGAAAAATCATATCCCCAGTCAGCACAGACTTACGTGTCAGGAAAAAATTGTCATGCATCATCTTCCAACAGGAGCTCCTAAATGATCAAGTCTTGTTGATGAAGTGTAATTATTGATACTGTGATTCCACATCCATCTTTGCCAAGGTTTCCTGAAGATGTTAATTTAAGACTTCTGTTATCAAAGTTGATGTTGGGAGTAGTTTCACCACATGGCTTTTGATGCCATGGAAATGATTACGGGATGCACGTTTACTTTATTTGCTGTATGTTATCTGTGTTTTAATTCCATCAGCTGGGACCTTTGCAGGAAGTGCAGGACATTGTTGAGGAGCCTTCTCTGTTTTGTGAATATGACTTCTCACTGAAATACTGGAACAATGGAGGGGGGAAGCATAGACACAGGAGCAAAACCCTGTCATTGTCCTTGTGTTGTGTGACGTTAGGGCAGAGTAGTGAATCCTTCAAGGACTCTCATATCCTCACAGACAAGCTCTACTTTGCCATATGTATGAGACTGCAGCACAAGCACAACAGCAGCATTATCCTCATGCCTAGATCATACCCCATATGGTAAATTACTTTCAAGCATTAGAGACAAAGGGGGATGCTGTAAACTGAAGGCTCAGCTTGTCTCTGCTTCCACCTATCTGTTCAGAACCCAGGGTCAATAGTTTAAACTGGAAAATGATTGGAAAAGGGAAACTATCAGTTAGCTTCTAAAAGAAAGAAAGATCAAACTGTGTCAAACTAATGTTGCTCCTTCTACAGCAAGGTAACAAGCTTCTTGAATGGAGGGGAAACGTTAGGCACACCTTTAAGTGACTCTAATGACTTTCTGTAAGAAAGCAGGGAAATGTGGTTTGACACCAATTTAAAAGTAAGGTTATAAAACTCTGTTTGGAAAACCCTACTTGGTGTAATTATTAATCATTTAGAGTCAGACTGTAAGGATGTATTGAGTGGGATTCTCTACAGTTCTGCTCTGATTTGACGTTATTTGGTATTTTCATTAACAATTTAGGTGGCATATGCTAATTAAATTGTAGGGAGCACCAGACTTGAGCTAATTACTGACCAACTAGAAGACAATTACAATTCAAAATGAACTTGATAAATTCAAAAGAGTTAGAATGTGATTCAGTAAATCCAGCAGTGGATTTGACAAATGTGTATTTGTACACTTCAGCAGAAGCAACGATCAGCTGAACAAACACAGGATGGGACAGGACAGGCTGCTAGGGTAGCAGTCGTACAGAAGAGTTCTCTTTGGGTTATAGCCACTCACCAGCTGAACATGATTCAACA